AAGTAGATACCATACTAGATATTACACTCAATGGATTAGGGTAGTTTAACATATTAAACATATTATTACTATAACTGATTGTTTATTCATCGTGTAGAATATCATAGATTCTGTATCGATGACAAAAATAACAAGATGGGGAACATTTTGGCTGGAGTAATTGAACATGCCCTTAAAAAGATAATTAATTCCCTGGAGTGATTTGTTAAGTTCCCAAATTGGGGTAGGTGAAATAAAATTCTGTTATGAATTTATGTTCTGAGAAAGATTAATGTTAAAAAGAATTTGGAGTTTGATTATATTGAAAGTTTTGGTTTATTTTAGAAAATTGGAAAAGAGTTAGATCTAGATAAATTTTGATAGTATAAAGATTTTGATTAATTTGTCATTGTTAACTAGGAAATTCTTAAAATTTCAAGAGTAAATGCTTTAGGGTTAGTTAAGTCATTGCACACATATGACATATTTCATTTTAACAATATGACAACCTAGGGTGGCAAATGACTTTTTGCAAAAAATAGGGGTCCAATGTAATTGGGCCATTACAAATATACCGCAACAGGACTGCCGTCGAACCGAGTAGCTCGTGAGCTACTCGGATTCGACTAGTGTCGAGCTCGGGCCGACTCGGCAGAGAACGAGTAGTTCTCGAGTTCGAGCTCAACGTCAAGCTCGTGAAAATGTCGAGCTTTTCAGGCTCGACTCGAACTATTGCGAGCTGTTCGGCGAAATGGAGACGTCATTCGAGAGGAGATGAGCTGGTAATATTTCCCTAAAATCTGAAATCAAGGCATTTTTCGGCCAAAAACAGAGTTCAGCTATTCACCTCCAAAACACAGCGCAAGATTTGAACCACCATTGTCCAGCCTTCATCCAGCCTTCATTCAACTACTAAGACCAGCGACCAGCTTCAGCATACTCCACCTCGTCTTCCCTTCCATTCCCTACTGCCACAAGGTACATTTTGCTACTTTTTGACACCCAAAGTTGTCTCTTGCCGTGAGTTATTCTACTTGTTTAAGTTGATTACAAATTTCTTTGTTTTCTCTCTCTTTAGTTACGAATTCTTCTGGGTTATGTGACTTTGCTGCGTATTTGGAAATTGGAAGATGGGTGAATGAGTTGCATTAATTTTGGAAGTCTGTAGAGAAGTTGTTATTTGTTTGTGAATGCCTCTAAGAGAAGAGTTATTGCTAATATCACATGTTTGTTCAACTGCTGCCTAAAATAAATTGTTTTTGCTGTCAAGTTACAGAACAAATCACCTAATATGTTTTCAGTATTATTACTTTCATAATAGATTTGGGAAATGAGTAATGTATGTGCATGAGGTTAGTGTTGATAAAATATATGGAGCTCTTGTCGTGGTAGCCTCTCCCCTTTCTAAAATTCACCACCTAGGTGATGACAGGATCCAATCATTGTTCATTATATGAGTTCATCCCAATAGCTGCAATTTCTTCATAGCAGTTCTAAGTTTCTGCTTGATTAGTTTTAACTGATGCAGGTTGATTTGAGGAATTGATTGTTGCAGAGCTGTAGATTTGCTGCAAGTATAGTGTAGAACTGCAGGTTTAATGGCTGAGTTGCAGTTAATTTGCATGCAGATTAATGCAGCTTGGTGTGAGGAGTTGATTGTTGCAGAACTGCAGATTTGCTGCAAGTATTAGTGTGAACTGCAGGTTTAATGGTTGAATTGCAGTTGATTTGCACTGCAGTTAATGCAGGTTGGTTTAAGGAGTTGATTGTAGGTTGGTTTGATGAGTTGATTGTTGCAAAGCTGCAAATTTGTTGGAGCTGATATTGCTGCAATGTTATGTTGCATTTTAAATGAAATTTTGAAGTTTAATGAGTTGACTTGAGAAAACGGTTTAAGCTGCAGATTAATGCAGGTTTGAGAAGTTGATTTGAGGAGGCATATTGAGATAGTTGAAAAGTAAACCAGTTTTTTGCTAAGGGGAAGTATTAGCAAAAGATTATAATCAACTGGACTGTTTTTATTCATTATATCAGTAAAGCATGCATTCTTGAGGTGCTCTACACTCTGCTCGTGATTTGTCTTCATTAATGCCGCTGACAATTTCTCCACATGCAATCAGTTTTTGTTTTCTAGTATTTGTCCATTGGCCCTCAAAATGCAGTGGCTTGATAATTACATTAGTCATTCCTTTCTTCTTGTAACTTTCCAATAACAATATATATATTCCCAATTTTTATAATATATTGGGACCCTATGCGTCCCAATAATGTGAGTTTTGATTATAATTACCACTTATACATAATATATTAAACTCGTTTAAATGACTATTATTTTAAGAATTTTAGACAATTTGGTTTATGGTATAGGCGTATAGCAGCCTTAAAGTGTTCTGAAGTCGTTGGAATACAATATATTATATGTTTTTGTATATCTAGAAATTATATTACGGAACCCACTTGAATCATAGCTTTCGGAGGGCATCTACTACAGAAAAATCTGAATAATACTTGGAAATTGGAATCGAATTGTGTAACACGTTCAGAAAAATTAAAGAATCTGAATAATACTTAGAGAAGGACTTTGAGTCCTAGACGAAATTTACAAAGTTAACAATTTTAGTATGTTAATTAGTTTAAAAAGTAAAATCACACTATTGATCAAATCCAAAATATAAGAAAACTGATTCTGCAAGTATTTCAAAAAAGGTAATAAAAACAGAGATCTCAAAAACAGAGTGTTTGTTTATTGTTTGGTTCTCTCTCTCCAGTAACAATTGAATCTCGGACATAAGGAAAATAGATAGAGAATGTAAAACCAGAAATCTAAAACCGGGTTTGCCATCAAAATATTAACATGCGAAAATAAAAAAAATAAAAAAAGAAGAACGATGCACTGAAAGTTCTGTTCTACTTTCGACAGAAAAAATCTCTGCAACCTGCGGCAATGTGTAAAATACGAACATGTTACAGTTGAAACTTTTTCGGATGCAAACCAGCATCGTTATAATCATAAAATATAAGTAGATGACCTTATATATCAAAGACATTACATGAACACAAGCCATCTGCCAAAAGTGGAAAACAGAGAAGAAAGCCATTGATTAGCTTTACCTACTACAAAAGATGACAAATGTTAGTGAAATGAGCAGTTTCAGAGCTCTATTTCTATGAACTTGAAACACTTGAAACTTTTGTGGGTGCTTTGGTTTATGCAGTTCATTACACGTTTATATACAAATGGTGTTAACCCTGGAAATAAGGGCTGACGTGGGAAAGTCACGTTACGGGGACCTGCTCCCGTCAGGGCAACATGCACACGTCAGACCTTCAAGTAACTGGAGCTCACACGCGTCCATTCCTCTGCGCAAGTCGTGCGAAATCGCTTGGAAAAAGGAAAATGGGACGTAAGCCGGATTACATCCGACAATCACACCAACCCATGGATTTAATGATGATTACACGCTTCAGTTTGAATAAAATGAGGAAGACCCCTCATTAGGGGGATTCGGCCATTGACAAAAAACAACTTTTCTTGTAAAAGAAAAACACTTACTTTCATAACTTTTTGTACGTCAGTCCGTTCGCGACCTGACCACACTAATATCAATACAAATCAGTGGACGTAGGATTTGTACCTTAGCATCCGACCACTTTAAAGCTTCTTTGCATTATTCATTTGAGGCATCATTATCACGTGTGTTAATCATCAAATGCATTATCCACGTGAGAATTGGTTGGTGCCTAAACGAGCATTAACAAATGCCATTTGCTTTTGCTTGAATAAAGCATTATGCACCACACGCTCCACAAGGTGTTCTTTTTCATAAGATCAATCATATGCGATGAAGAAAACTAAAGAATTTGATCAGTCCAGAATTAAAAGGTTCAAAAATCCACCACATAAAAAGTTTCAGGCAAGGTATGCACCACGTCGTTGCCATGAGATAAGCGAGTTCCACTAACAAATAAACTTTGATTCCCTTACCGTCAATATATGATTTTGTTCATTGATTTGCTGTTCATTTTGATTTGCTGTGTAAAATGTCTTTTGAGAAAAACCCAGATGAGTTGTGAGTTATGAGAGGCAAATGTGTTCATTTTACACAAAAATGAAAATAATTGCAATAGTTGAAGTGGGTTTGAGAGAGAGAGAATGAAAAAGAGTTGTGGAGAAGAAGGTGTAAATTGGAGTGGTAATTCACATTGATGAGAAGGGCGTTTTGGGGAAATGAAAGCGAAGAAGAAGACGCTGTGCTTTGATTTGCTGGGAAAAAGCTGCAAACGAGCTTGGCTCGAGCTCGAACTCGGCTCGGCTCGGCTCGGCTCGAAACTATACGAGTCGAGCCGAGTCGAGCTCGAGCCATGTAGTTTAATTGACGAGCCGAGCTCGAGCTCACAAGCTGGAGCTCGACGAGCTCGAGCTCGAGCTCGAGCTCCCACCTTATCTCACCGAGCCGAGCTCGAGCCGGCTACTACTCGGCTCGGCTCGGCTCGTATGCATACCTACGTACAACCCAATGAAATTAAATTATCAACACTGTATAACAGGTAACGTTTCTGCAGTAATTTTAACAGTACCCTATTATAGATAAATAAAAGAATTAATAAATAAAAACAAATTCTTTTTAGTTTGAATGGAGACGAGAATTGAAACACCATTTCAATTTTAGAATGAATTAAATAGCCATAAAGTTTGAAACTCTTTCGAATTTGAGATGTAAAATGGGGGAATATCCATAAACAAAACAAAACAATAAAACACCTCCTGCTTTGACCCTCTCGTTCTCTTCTTCGACTTTCGTGTCTTTCTTTCTTTCTCTATAGCGTTCGATGAGAGAATAACAAAGAGGGAAAAAAACACACACAACAAACTACCATTAACAAGTGCTTCTTCTCTTTTATTTACGCTGTCTTTACCTTCGCCTTTTTATATTCCTATAATTTTTTTTTTTTTTTTGTATTTTTGGGACAAAAATTATAGATAACAGAGTCCCACCAATCATTCAAAAGAATATATTGCATTTTGGATTTGTGGGTATGAATTGTTAGCCAATTCGAGCTCTAATGAGTTATTCTGAAATAAAAATTTTAATTTGTTGTGTGTTGGAATGAGCAAATTTGTTTAATTGATGGATGGATCCATTTTGAGAATCGGGCGAATTAATTGTTCCTTTTTTTTTACCAAATTCTGTGGTGAAAATTGTTTCCTTTTGATTATTTTTTAATCTGGGTATTTGTTTATCCCGGGTGTTTTTTTTTTTCCCCTAATTTTTTTATTTGTTTTATTTTTTTTTCTTAAATTACGGAATTTGAGTTTACCAGTAAGAAAAACCACCCAGATAAGCTTTTTTACAGAAAAAACTACGCAGGTTCAGATAGGGTCTTTAGTCATTAATTGGTGTTTTGAGGTTTAGATACTATGAAGGTGGTTGTTTGACTAAAAGGGATTGGGTTGCACTGTATTTAGATTGGGAAACTCGATGAAGCAGTGGGATTTTAACTGACTTCTTTTGAATGGATGATTGGGCGAAATGAGAAAGCTAGTTCGGAGAGTTCTCTATACAAGGAAGCCATGTTACCATAAAGGATAGCTAACTCTGACGTTTAATAAGATTAAAATTTGTGTATGCTGTGACATATTGTGATTTTTCTTGGGTTGTAGCATGCTGGTTGTGCATAATTATGGTATGATCAATATCATTTACTCCAGTAAGGATTAAGTATTGTGGCTTTTTTGACCATATTGGTTAGATTTCATGTTGTTTTTGTAGCAGTTATGAAATAGGGTTTCAGGTATATTGTTCTACACTTTGGTGTATGCAATCATGCATAATGAAGACAAAAGAAGAGAGAAGAAAGATTTAAACTTAACCATAACCTTATCTTTCTGCACATTTTGTCTTAGAAAACTTAAAGAAATTATTAACTAGGAAGAATTAGCGAAATATTGGTACTATACCTTTCTTTTGGTATTTTTTTTTCTTGTTTAATAATATGGATGCCTATTCAACCAAACTGATCCACTGCCCAACTTACCCATGAAGATTATTGGAGAATGACATATTTCATTGATAACAATATGACAACCAGGGTGGCAAATGACTTTTTGCAAAAGATAGGGGTCCAATGTAATTGGGCCATTACAAATATAACGTAACTAGGACTCAGTCGAACCGAGTAGCTCGTGCGTACTCGGATTCGACTAGTGTCGAGCTCGGGCTCGACTCGGCAGAGAACGAGTAGTTCCGAGTTCGAGCTCAACGTCAAGCTGTGAAAACTGTCGAGCTTTTCAGGCTCGACTGAACTATTCGCGAGCTGTTGGCGAACTGGAGACGTCATCGAGCAGGAGATCGAGCTGTGTTAATATTTCCCCTAAAATCTGAAATCAAGTCCTCTTGGCCAAAAACAGAGATTCAGCTATTCACCTCCAAAACACAGCGCAAGATTTGAAACCCCATTGTCCAGCCTTCATCCAGCCTTCATTCAACTATAAGACCAGCGACCAGCTTCAGCTACTACCGTCCACCATCGTCTTCCCTCTTCACTTCCTACTGCACAAGGTACATTTTGCTACTTTTTGACACCCAAAGTTGTCTCTTGCCGTGAGTTCATTCTACTGTTTAAGTTGATTACAAATTCTGTTTTTCTCTCTCTTTAGTTACGAATTCTTCTGGGTTATGTGACTTTGCTGCGTATTTGGAAATTGGAAGATGGGTGATATGGTTGCATTAATTTGGAAGTTGTAGAGAAGTTGTTATTTGTTTGATGAAATGCCTCTAAAGAAGAGTTATGCTAATATCACATGTTTGTTAGTGCTGCCTAAAATAAATTGTTTTTGCTGTCAAGTTACAGAACAAATCACCTAATATGTTTTCAGTATTATACTTTCATAAAGATTTGGGAAATGAGTAATGTTGTGCATGAGGTTAGTGTTGATAAAATAATGGAGCTCTGTCGTGGTAGCCTCTCCCCTTTTCTAAAATTTCACCACTAGGGGTGACAGGATCCAATCATTGTTCATTATATGAGTTCATCCCAATAGCTGCAATTTTCTTCATAGCATGTTCTAAGTTTCTGCTTGATTAGTTTTAACTGATGCAGGTTGATTTGAGGAATTGATGTTGCAGAGCTGTAGATTTGCTGCAAGTATTGTGTAGAACTGCAGGTTTAATGGTGAGTTGCAGTTAATTTGCACTGCAGATTAATGCAGCTTGGTTTGAGGAGTTGATTGTTGCAGAACTGCAGATTTGCTGCAAGTATTAGTGTAGAAAGCAGGTTTTATGGGGAAGCAGTTGATTGCCACTGCAGATTAATGCAGGTTGGTTTAAGGAGTTGATTGTAGGTTGGTTATGAGTGTGATTGTTGCAAAGCTGCAAATTTGTTGGAGCTGATATTGCTGCAAGTTTAATTGTTGCAATTTTAAATGTGAAATTTGAAGTTTAATGAGTTGACTTGAGAAAACGGTTTAAGCTGCAAGATTAATGCAGGTTTGAGAAGTTTTTGAGGAGGCATATTGAGATAGTTGAAAAGTAAACCAGTTTTGCTTAGGGGAATATTAGCAAAAGATTATAATCAACTGGACTGTTTTATTTATATATTCAGTAAAGCATGCATTCTTGAGGGTTCTCTACACTCTGCGTGATTTGTCTTCATTAATGCCGCTGACAATTTCCTCCACATGCAATCAGTTTTTGTTTTCTAGTATTTGTCCATTGGCCTCTCTAAAAGCAGTGGCTTTGATAATTACATTAGTCATTCCTTTCTTCTTGTAACTTTCCCAATAACAATATTATAATTCCCAATTTTATTATATATTGGGACCCATATGCGTCCCAATAATGTGGTTTTGATTATAAATTACCACTATCATTAATATATTAAACTCGTTTTAAATGCTATTATTTTAAGAATTAGACTAATTTGGTTATTGTATTAGGCGTATAGCAGCCTTAAGTGGTCTGAAGTCGTTGGAATACAATATATTAAGTTTTTGTATATTAGAATATTATATACGGAACCCACTGAATCATCAGCTTTCGGAGGGCATCTACTACAGAAAATCTGAATAATACTTGGAATTGGAATCGAATTGTGTAACACGTTCAGAAAAATTAAAGAATCTGAATAATACTTAGAGAAGGACTTTGAGTCCTAGACGAAATTTACAAAGTTAACAATTTTAGTAGTTAATAGTTTAAAAAGTAAAATCACACTTGATCAAATCCAAAATAAGAAAACGATCTTGCAAGTATTTCAAAAAATGGTAATAAAAACAGAGATCTCAAAAACAGAGTGTTTGTTCATTGTTTGTTCCCTCTCCCAGTAACAATTGAATCTCGGACAATAAGGAAAATAGATAGAGAATGTAAAACCAGAAATCTAAAACCGGGTTTGCCATCAAAATATTACACAATGCGAAAATAAAAAAAATAAAAAGAAGAACGATGCACTGAAAGTTCTGTTCTACTTTCGACAGAAAAAATCTCTGCAACCTGCGGCACATGTGTAAAATACGAACATGTTACAGTTGAAACTTTTTCGGATGCAAACCAGCATCGTTATAATCATACAACATAAAGTAGATGACCTTATATATCAAAGACATTACATGAACACAAGCCATCTGCCAAAAGTGGAAAACAGAGAAGAAAAGCCATTGATTAGCTTTACCTACTACCAAAAGATGACAAATGTTAGTTGAAATGAGCAGTTTCAGAGCTCTATTTCTATGAACTTGAAACACTGAAACTTTTGTGGGTGCTTTGCGTTTATGACAGTTCATTACAAGTTTATATACAAATGCTGTTATACCCTGGGAAATAAAGGGCTGACGTGGGAAAGTCACGTTACGGGTGACCTGCCCGTCAGGGCAACATGCACACGTCAGACCTTCAAAGTAACATGGAGTCACACGCGTCCATTCCTCTGGCAAGTCGTGCGAAATCAGCTTGGAAAAAGGAAAATGGGACGTAAAGCCGGATTAATCCTGACAATCACACCAACCCATGGATTTAATGATTATTACACGCTTCAGTTTGAAATAAAATGGGAAGACCCCTCCATTAGGGGGATTCGGCCATTCTTGACAAAAAACAACTCTCTCTCTTGTAAAAGAAAAACACTTACTTTCATAACTTTTTGTACGTCAGTCCGCTTCGCGACCTGACCACACTAATATAATACAATCAGTGGACGTAGGATTTGCTACCTTAGCATCCGAACCACTTTAAAAGCCTTCTTGCATATTTCATGAGGCTCCATTATCACGTGTGTTAATTCATCAAATAGCATTATCCACGTGAGAATTGGTTGGTGCCATAAACGAGCATTAACAAATGCCATTGCTTTGCTTGAATAACAAGCATTATGCCACAACGCTCCACAAGGTGTTTTTTTATAAGATCAATCATAGCGATGAAGAAAACTAAAGAAATGATCAGTCCAGAATTAAAAGGTTCAAAAATCCACCCAAAAAGTTTCAGGCAAGGTATGCACCAGTCGTTGCCATGAGATAAGCGAGTTCCACTAACCAAATAAATTTGATTCCCTTACCGTCAATTACTGATTTTGTTCATTTTGATTTGCTGTTCATTTTGATTTGCTGTGTAAAAGTCTTTTGAGAAAAACCCAGATGAGTTGTTGAGTTCATGAGAGGCAAATGTGTTCATTTACACAAAAATGAAAATAATTGCAATAGTTGAAGCTGGGTTTGAAGAGAGAGAGAATGAAAAAGAGTTGTGAAGAAGAAGGTGGAAATTGGAGTGGTAATTCACATTGATGAGAAGAGGCAGTTTTGGGGAAATGAATGTCAATTGAGAACTGAAGCACGAAGCTGGTTGTGAGGATGCAGTGATACTGAGAAAGTGAAATGGTGAAACAGTGAGGATGCAGTGAAAAAATAACGGTCAGAAAACATGTCAGGATAGTTCTTAGGATTCCATTATCAGGGTAGGATTCTGTAAATAATAAAACAAACAACATTTCAAAAATCCGGTCTAAAATATAGATAAAAATAGTTAGCCAAACATGCAGATA